CCAAGCTGGTACTCCCCTCTCTTGCTCTGGCAGCGCTCTGCCCATGGCAGCCAGGGCCACTGATGGCTTCTGCTGCGAGGACACATCCCTGGCTCCTGCTCAGCCCAGTGGGATCCCAAGGTCCAGCCCACAGAGCTGCTTTCCAGCTGGTGGCCCAGCCTGTGTCGGTACATTTCCCATCTGGGAAACAGGATGTCTCTCCCCTGGAAATACCCTGGGAGTGTGGCTGGGCTGTGGGGCAGTGCTCCCCTCCCCTAACCCCCTTTGCCCCCACTACCCTGGCCCGTTAAGAGCCCCTGTGCCCTGGGGCAACCTTGCTGAGGGTGGCTGGTGGAGCTGAGAACGCTCCTGTTGTGCAGCATCACTGCTGCATCCCAGAGGCATGTTGGCCTGGCCCTGGAGAAGTGCCCCCCCCGGGGGTCATCTTCACTTCTTTATGCTAAGAGGGGCTGGAAAGGCAAGGAAGGAAGCTGAGCAGGCCACTATTACTTTATTTACTTGCCTGGGATGACGCTGTGCCCTGCTGGGTTTCTGCATGCTGAGGGATCGGGTGTGTGTATTGTCTGTTTGCAGAGCCCCATGCACCTGGGAGTGCTGCAGGGCAGCCAGGGGCTGGCAGATAGGGTTTGGCAGTGGAGCCTTATCTCACCTTATCATCATTTCCCCAACAGCACAGAGAGAGGCCAACACTACAGACAGTGCAGAGTCCACTCTGCAGCTGTGATATGGCTGCTGTGTGCCACCCATGACATTGCCTGAGGTGTTGCAAAGGTCTCCCAGCTGCTGTGTCACCTGGTGAGGCCACCTCTAGACTCACGTGGCCCCTGTCCTGTGGAAGGACATTTCCACTCTGGAGGCTGTGTTCACCAAGCAGGATGAGGGCTGGTGTGCTGACGCCAGGGAACGACTTTGCTGGGGGGCTACCCTGACCCCAGGGGAATGAGACTTCAACAACCCCACTGGGAGCTGCAGAGCCCTCCTGCTGTGGGCTCCACCACAATGTGCTGTGCTTCTGTCCCCTGTACCCCTAGCACACCCAGAGCCACCACATGCTAGGGCTGTGCCCTGCACCCTCAGTGCACCTGGGACCACCCCATGCCAGCCTGCAGGGCCCCCTATGGGGAGAGCCTCAGGCTGGCAGTGCAGTGCAGCCTTGGCTTGCCTGAGCACGTCAGGGACTCACGACCCAGTTTGGTTTTGTCTGGAAGATAATGGACGATAAGGAGGGATGTCTGATGCTCTGGCTTTCACCCACCAAGCAGCCAGTGGGGGAGGATGGCTGGCCCCACAGTGCGGAGCACCCCACTGCCTTAGCAGGTGGCTGCTGCCCTGCTGGCAGGGGTCTGTCTGGCCGGGGCATGGGTCTGACCCTGGGCTGGCTGCCCCGACAGGCAGCACCGTGCAGATCTGCGCCTGGTGCTGCTGACGTGGCTCAAGGCCGCAGGCAAGGCTAGCGCGAGGCTGAGACGCCAAGGGCTCGCTCTGCCTGCGGTTCCAGCACTGCCAGAGCAGTCGGGACACCGCTGAGCCAGCAGTGGGGGAGCGTGGGCTCTGGCAGAGATGCCATCAGCTGTGGTCATGAGTGGTGAGGGTGGCCAGCAGGTCCCGGACTGGGTCGGCAGGAGTGCAGGGATGGGCTGGTGAAGGAGCTCCACTGCTCTGTGCGCCACATCCCATTTGGGGCTCCCCAGCATAAGAGAGACATCTCATCGTGGAAGGAGGCTGGTGAGGCTACTGAGGTGTTCGGTGCTGGAGCTGGGCTTCCTTGGGCTGAAGGAAGGTAGGGGAAGTTTGGCTTTATGTGCCCTGAACTTGAGGTCATGGCAAGGCTTCTTCCTTCTCCTTTTGCACCTCCAGGCCAGCACGGGCATTGGGCCTCCTGTGGGGAGATGCTGTGGCAGTAGCTGGATGTCCGGACTGTGTGGGTGACTGCAGACCTGGGCCTTGTCTGTGTCCCAGAGCTGACACATCCCTTGGCTGCCGCCTTGTCCAGCCTTGCCCTTTGCCCTCCCTGGCTGGCAGCACTGGCTCCCTGCAGGTGTGCGAGTGTGTTTACCGTGTGTGCTGCCAGTCATGTCCTGCTCATGTCCCTGCAAGAGAGGCGTCAGTGGATGGGGGGGCACAGCGCTCCCTTCTCTGGAGAAGGAGCTGTTGCCCTGCCTGGGACAGAGCCAGAGGAAAGTGAGCTTCTCACAGTGCAAACAGCGGTGGAGCTGGGCTACCCCAGCCAGGTCCTGTATGTGAAAAATGGAGTGGCTCAAGGACTGCCATGGAACACTGCCCATGGTGTGGGACATCCACAGTGGCATTGTGTAAGGAATTGCTGCAGTAGTTGATAGGAGCCTTTATACATTCCACTGCTCCAAGGTGGAACTTACAACTTTGTGGAGATAAAAAGAAGGAAGGATGAACACATGTCCATCCTGTTCAACAGGGCATCCAAGGCTCTGGAAATGGAAGGCAGAGCAGAGAAACAACTTCTTTATGTGGGCAAATTTCTTGGAAGTCAAAACAAGAGCCGGCGCAAACGAAGGGATGATGCAGTTATTTCACACCTGAGCTGAAGTTATAAATTCAACCAGCTTCCAGACTCAGGGGAGACTCTTGAGGGCTAGTGTGAACTCTGCCATGCACCCACAAGGTCCTCTATCCCCTCCTGGAACATAGTGGGCTGGCATTCCCCAGCTGGCAGCCGATACAGCTTCTGCCTGGATGCCACCACATCCATTATCCTCCTCAGCCTAGGAGAGCCTGAGTTGAGCTGTGGCTCCATGTGACGTGTTTGTCCTACCCGGGTCCCCTCCTTCGGTAACAAGACCCCATGCTGAGGCCTCCCTGTCATGCTTTTGTGGGCACCCTCAGCACACAACAGCCTCTGCCCCAGTCTGCTGGGTCTGGGTGGCTGGAGCAGAGCTCAGTCTTTTCATCAGTCAATGACAGTGGGATGTGGTGGGAATCAGGCTATTCTGTTGCTTTTGTAGCATCTGTCTGCTCCCTGGCTGCCACCTGGGAGCAGAGGCTGGGCTGGCAAGCTTGACTTTCCCCTGCGCTGCAGCCCTGGCTCTAGGGGAGACCACCGCTTTGACCTGGGGTTACACTGGTGTCCATGGGTGCTCCAGCCAGGCCTGGCTCCAGGGAGGCTGCACTTCAAGTGGTGTGCTCCCAGAGCCCCTTAAGGAAAAGGCCATCACTCTAGAATGTATTTTCTAATATAGATTTATGGGGGAAGGGATTAAAAAGGGGGTTTATCTTCTCTCTTGCACTTGTGTCCTGGTTTGAGGTAAAACAGAACTACTAGGGGGAGGCAGTTTGGGGTGGAGCCCACTGCCCCCTGCCAGGCAAGAGATGCCCCTCTGTGCCCTGCAGTGCCAAGAAGCGAAAACCTGCCTGGACTGACCGCATCCTCTGGAAGATCAAATCTCCCAGTGTCAGTCTTGGTGCGGGTGGGCGCCGGCCCAGCCGGGGTGTTGTGTCAGTGAGCCAGCTCTGCTACTGCAGCCACATGGAGTACACCATCAGTGACCACAAGCCGGTAGCTGCCATCTTTGCGGTGCAGGTGAGCACTGCCCATTGCCATGGGGCACACAGGCAGGAGCTACAGGGGTGAGAAGCCCTGCTAGTGTGTGGTGGGGTGTGTGGGTTGTGTGTGGTTTGTGTTTTTGGTTTGGTTTGGTTTTTTTTGGCTAAGCTTGACTGTTTTGCCACTGTGGCTGGGGGCTGCTGTTGGTGTATGCCTGAGGGCCCAGTCCTAAATGGGCGCCCTGGGCAGCGGGGGCAGTTCTCCTTGGCATGCCCTTGTTCACTGTGTATGTGTCTCTGCAGTTTGCTTCCAAGGCAGACAAGCCTCCAGTTGAGATTTATGTGGCTGATGAATGGAGCAGGCCTGAGCAAGCTGTTGTCAGGTACAAGATGGCTGCTGGCTTCCACCGGAGCTCCTGGGACTGGATAGGACTCTACCGGGTAGGGGCTTGGGGGCTGGAGGGGGTGGGAAGCACTGCACAGCACCGTGGGGTCCCTTCTGAGCTATCCTCTGCCAGTGGACACAGGTGCATGGCACGGACACGTGCTCTGTGTTCTCCTGTCCCATGGGAGCAGTAGGATTCGGCCCTGCTTCAGGAGGCTTAGATCCAGCAGTTTCCTCTTGCTTTGTAGGCCCCACAGGGTTCAAAGCCTGGCACTCCCCAGAGCTGGGGGCCAGGGCACCCACAGGGTGGGTGCAAGGTAGCTCTTGGTGCCCTTGTGCGAGAAGAGGGGGCTGAGTGAGAGGAGAGCAAAGGCCAGGTGTGGCTGATGGCAGTGAGCAGGGCTGATGTTCCCCCATTTACCTGTGTTCTCTCTTTCATGTACCTGCACATAGGTGGGTTTTCGGCATCCTAAAGACTATGTGTCCTATGTCTGGGCCAGGACCGATGATGGAGAGCGCTGTCTGGAGAAGCAAATGTGTGCACAGGTGAGCTGGAGCCAGCCCTGCTGTCTCATTGGGCATGTGCCCCTGATGGGGCAGGAGGGCAGTTCCTTATTGCTTTGTGCTGAGCCTTGGATAGGCCCACTGTGCTGGCATCAGGGATTTCTGCTCTCAGCTGGGGCTGGGGGGCACCTCTGTGCTCAGCCCTGGTGCCCATCAGCTGTCTCTGGGCTGCAGGTGATGTTCTCAGAGGAGGCGCTGCCCAAGGAGAAGGGCGAGTACATCCTTGGATACTACAGCAACACCTCCAGCAGCATCGCTGGCGTGACCGAGCCCTTCCAGGTCAGCATAGCCAAGGGTGAGGGTCTGAGGGAGGCAGGGTGTAGGGGTGTCCCACAGCCCTCTGTGTGGATCAGCCAGCAGTGCTGATGCTGGGGTGCAGATCTCCCTGCCCAGGTCGGAGGAGGGCAGCAGTCCCACGGACAGCTCAGGCAGCAGCTCAGAAGAGGAGGATGACAGCACACTTGTCCTACTGGCCCCCAAATCCCGTAGCCCCAGCCCAGGCAAGATGAAACGGCACCGAAGCCGAAGTCCCAGCCTGGCCAAGTTCCAGGGCCTCATCCTGCGGCCATCAAGCAGGGATAGGGGTACAAGCCGCAGCCCTTCACCCCAGAGCCGCCGAGGCCTCCCCGGGGACATTCCCACCATCCACCTGCCCCAGGAGGAGCTGGGGTGCCGTGCAGCCAAAGCCAAGGAGCCAGAGCGGGCAGCTGACAGCCTGGAGGGCAGCTCCTTCTACCAGACTGTGCGGGAGTGGGGTGGCCCCTGGCGTGTCTCTGCTGACAACCCCTTGGCCAGGGCTGACCCCAGGAACCTGGGCCTGCTGCCAGCGCTCCGCCTGGAGATGATTGACCAGGCTCTGGGCCGACGGAGGGAGAGTGCAGACCAGGGCTACCCCTGCCGGAGGATGAGTCCCACCAGCCCCCCAGGCTGCAGTACCTCCCCAAAGGAGGAGAGCAGCCCTCAGGAGCTGGACACCCATAACTGTGCCATGGGCGACTGATGCAGTGGCCCCCTTCCCTCTTCCCTGTAGCACCCTTGCTGTGCGCTTTCCTTTGCCACTTTCCTGCTGAGATGCCCCTCCCTTATTTATTGCAGTGACTCCTCACCCTGTTGTGTGCCTGGCAGGTAGGGGCCTCCCACTGCTCCCCGTAGCCTGAGATGCTGGGCTGGGAAGTGGCATGGTGGGGGGGCAAGGCTGATCTAGTGTGGTGGTGGGGAGCCCATTGTGAAACTCAAAGTGCAAAACCCTTCAGCCCTATGGGAGAAATGCTGGCCTTGCACCCAAGGTGGGGCAGGAAGCCAGGCCAAGGTTCTGGTGGCAATAGTGATGGGCATAAAGTGAAGACCCACTCCAGGGTACCCCTGAGATCAGATCAAAGCTTGCTCCTTCCCTGTTGCCTCCATTGTGCCTCAGCCTTGGATGTAGTGCAAATGACAAAATAAACCATCCTGGCCCACCCCAGCTGCACTGTGCTTACTGCAGGGGGGCAGGATCCCTGGGGTGGGGGCTGCAGGGTGAACAGGGGCAGCAGGCTCAGCGCTGGCATCACACACCATGCTCAGACCACCTTTTATTCATATTCTGCTGCACATGCAGCCCTGGCCCTCCCTGCCCCCTACCTTGCTCTAAGGCTGGGAGCCAGTGCAGACCCCAGCCCTCCCTGCACCCCTCCCATCCTGCCTGGGGAAGGGGGCCAGGATCATACCACAGGGCTCCCCTCCCCCCAGCCCCTAGCTGAAAAGGCACAAATCCAGGGCGGGGGGGAGGGTCTTGCGATCCCTTCCTGGCACAACAGGCAAGGAAGATCCTGGGTTTCTCCTTTCTCAAGCCCTCATGTTCCTTTCCCCTTGCTTTGGTGCTCATGGGTGGCAGCCATAGCCCTCCCCTGCAGCTGCAGTGCCTTGAGAGGCTTCTCTGTCCCTCTGCCTGCCCCTGCTCCAGCTGTGAACCCCAGCTCCATGCAGTCACATTAGCAGCCATGCTCGGTGCCATCCTTTGTCTCAAGTACCAGAAATCACACAGCTCCACTTTGTGGCTGCTGTACAGCATGTCTTCCTCCCCATGCAAGGCAGTGCTTCTTGGGCATCATTGGAGCACTGCATGGTGCTGAACTGCTGGCTTCTGCTCCAAGACCAGCCGCAGGCATCGCTCATAGAGGGTATTATCACTGTCCTGTGTCTTCCAGTCTGGAAGCTTGGCCTTGGAGGTTGCATGTGGAAGACCCCAGTGCCTCAGGGTCTTTTTGAGATGCCGTGCAGGTACTAGCAGAGCCCGGGTCACTGCATTACAGCTGCCAGAGAAGCACAGCTATGAACATCAGTGTAATGCTGCAGACTGACATCCATTGAATTCCACCCCAGCACTGCTCAGGACACAGCAGCACAGGTGATAATGCTTGCACTGCCAGCTTTATGCCAAGCCTGCAGGACAGCACCCAGCCCCACCAGGGAATCCCTCCTGCCCACCCACACAGGGTAGGAAGCCTGATGCAGGTCACATTCCCTTGACACTTACTTGTGCTGTGGCCCCTTGCCTGGGCTGCAGTCAGCGGGTGGCTCCAGAACAAAGCAGTCCGTGGTGATATGGTCAGCCAGGACAGCCACCTCCACGTCACTGAGGTTCCTTGCCCTGTGCAGGGACCGTGCCAGCCTGTGGGCACGAGAGGGCAGTAGTCAGCAGCTGCTGCCCAGGGTGGGCATCCCACTGGGGCCCACCTCATCTGACCCCAAACTGTCCACACACAGTGCTCTGGAATGGTGGGAAAAGCCCTGCCTTTTCCTCCAGACATGCACCTGTGAGTGCAGTTGCAGTGGAATAGCATCTGCGTGCCTGTGTTGTGCAGCTGGTACTTCACCTCATTGGGGGCAATGTGGTGCTCGCACTTATCCAGGTGCTTGTAGTACCTGCACACCCTGCGAGGGCCTGAAGACAGTGGGGTGGTGAGGGGCTCTGCCAGCACACAGCCCCACGGGGCTGAGGCCTTACGACACCCCAGCAGCAGCGCATGCTCTGCCCCCAGCACCGACTCACCATGCTGCCTGCGCATGTCCATGTCAGGCAGAGGGGTGTCTCCACAGCGTGCTGGGGCCAGTCTGGATCTGATGCTGCCATCCTGAGTGCAGGCAGGGTGTGCTGAGCCCCCAGCCCTGTGCTGTGTTCCTGCAGGCACTCGCTTTCCTCCAGCAAGGTCCTGTTCCAACACGGTCATTTCTGTTGGGGGGCCAGGCTCCAGCCCCCACTGTGCTGCTGGGTGCCTGGTTGCGGGCTCAGCCTTGTCTCTGGTAGATGCAGGTCTCTGTGCCTGGCGGAGCCTGGGGTTTTGCCCCAGTCTTTGTCGAAGCTGTTTGCGCCCTGTTCTAGAAGACTTCTTTCCTTTGCCTGGGGGCTGCACAGCAGAGCTGCCCACCTCCTGCATGGGTGGGCTGTAGTGGTACTGATTCTGCTGCACCATCCTGGCCAGGGGTACTACACCGTAACGCTCACACCTGAGGACACCATGGACCATGAGGCCCTGCACACCAGCCCCAGCTGTGCTCTGCTGCAGCCAGCAGGGTAGCCAGGCAGAGCGTGCCGGGGGCCACAGCAGCAGACTGAGATGAGAGGGCATCCTCGGGGCACTCACCCTCCCCACCAGTGCCACTGGATGCACTCCTCACTCTCCTCCAGTACGAAGCACGGCACCTCCAGCAGGTTGAAGAAGGTGACGCCGATGATGTTGGAGATGGTGTCGTTGAGAGCCAGCAGGCACTGCCGGAACCTGCGGGGCAGACGGGGGCGGTGAGAGGCCCGGCGGCCCCCGGTGTGCCCACCCGCCCTCGGCCTGGCCCCCGGCGCACCTAGCGTCGCAGTCGCAGTGGGAGACGGTGTGCAGGCGGTAGTTGCGGATACCGTAGTTGAACTGCAGCGCCGTGATCTGCGCCGAGCACTGGTCGTGCTCCCGGCAGCACCGGTCGGGGCCGCGGAAGAGACCTGCGGGCGGCGGCCGGTGAGCGCAGTCCCCGCCGGGAGCGTGGGGTGTGCGCGCCCG